TTAATCCCCATTCAGCAGATGTGGTAAGAACAACCCTGCAGATGTGTAACCACTAACAACTATTAGATGATGCAGTGCACAGAAAATTTTCTTTTACTATTTCATGATCGGTGTATTATCAAACTATAAAGAAGCCATTTTTGGATTTAGAATAGTAATCTTGTAATGATACAAGACTAAAGCAGCTACCTCAAACATTTGGTGAAAAAAGGCCTTTCGGTTAAGCTACCCAAGTATTGACACTGAAGAGTTCACTTAGACCCATTTGGTAAAGGTTATTTGGGTGAAATGACTCCGGTTGAATCAGCTGGACATTTTCTAAGAAAAAATATTTGAAAAAATCAATTTCAGCCAAATAAGTCAAAGGCTACTTCTTCTCCTTATTGAGTACAGAGTATGTTTTTTTAAAACTTTTTTCAATTCAATTATGTTAAATTAAGTTGAGTTTAGTTCAACACTTCTCAATTAAAATTACAACTAACTTTCAGTAAAGCTCAAAACATTTATATTCGGTTAGTTTAGTTCAATTCAGTTTATGATATACTCGTACTCAGTTAGTTTAGTTCAATTCAGTTTAGTTAAGGGAAAAATGACCGAAATAGGACTAAAACATAGCAAGGAGATCAAAATAGGACTAAAACATAGCAAGGAGATCAAAATAGGGCCTTGATGGTTTTATCCCCAAAACAAGACCTATAATGCCAGCATATAATGCCAAAAGGCACTGTGAATGTGAAATGCCAATATACAGTGTCACATTGTCACACTGCAATAGTCCTATTTCTAGATAAAAAAAAATACTACTCCTCTTTTGAGATAAAGGCTATGTTTTGCTCCTATTTTGGGTGATTTCTTTTAGTTTAGTTCAATCAAATACAATTAAGTCTAATAGATTTTAGTCGAAAAAGACTAAACTCATAATCATTATGATCGTGATATGAAAAACGAATTGACTAATGCTAACAGATGGGGTCTTAATCTGCTGAACTATAGAATAGTTTCAGTACCATACCTTTCGCTAGGACAAAACTCCAACGATGTGATGTATGAGCCTGAGTGAAGCCTTCGACTATAGTGAGACACCTCCATCTTTTTTACTTCAATAATGCAAACATCCCCATCTTTGCTTCCCCTGCATTTTTGGTGCTCATTAATCTGAGACAATATTTCCCATTTAAATGCTCTGAGGGAAAGAAGAGGCAGAAGAGAGACTCACACAGCAAGATATTTCCCATCCAAACTAATTGACATTATGGATGCTGGCTTTTTAAGTAGACTTTTGTGCCCGATTCTCTTCCACTCAATCATGTCCCAAACTGCAATCAATGTCTTATTTCCTATGCATAGGCAAAATAAATAAATAAAAACTCGATTCTGATTCAACTATTTATTTTTATTAAATAAAAAGGTGCTTTTCATATGCTAAGTCTAAGATCCACATGTTACCCCTTTGGACAACGCAAAACAAAAAAGGCTTTGTCCCGTCTTTAGAAAAGCGGCAAAGTTCAATCCTCTCATCCTGTGGTAGAAAATACGGAATGAAACAGGCTCAAAACGATGACAGGTTCAATTGAAATGAAAACTATACATGCTGTAACAACGCAATGGGTTGTTAGTGAATTGACTAGGAGATGGAGGCATACAGCTTTTCGTGTGAGAGATGTCACTGGAACACCGTCACTGGTCTTCCATATTCTTGCTGTACCATCCGTGGAGGTCGAGGCTAAGAACTCTGAGTCTAAACTAAAATCTATATCTTGGAATGACTTGTGAGCTTTTGGTTCATCCACAATGCTGCACATGTTTGGCCACTCAAAGAGCCTAAAGTGCCCATCCTTCAGATTTATCATTGGAACAGTAAGAACAAAGATGCATAAAGTGAAATACAAGAAATTCATTGTCGTAAAACAATGTTAGTAATCACAAGAATGCTTACAGCTCCACCCAAAGCCAACTTAGATCCATCAACACTAAAAACAAGGCACTTCTGCTGGCCAACATCCTGAAGATGAACCAATTCTTTGCACACGAGTTTAAGGTTATCTTCCCGGCCAGACAACTCGAAAAATCTGTATGTTACAAGATATGCTTTTAACACAAGCATGAAACTATGAAAGAAGAACTATTCCAAAACAAAAGTTTACGGTTTGAAAACAAACACCAAAAGGTGAAGGAGCTGAACCCCCAAAATATTAGTTTTGGTATATTGGCCATTTTCTCCACAGATATAGAAAGGGTACTGACTTGCAGCCAGTGGTGGTCGAGCAAACGACGCCGTCTCCACTGGGATGCGCTGCAATGCTCACTGGATGGATTCCTTCCTCAAACAAATACTTGGCCTGCAATGCCAATTCTATCAGATTTCAGTCGGGTGAGCCAATTTAGAGCATATAAAGACCTAAGGAAGTGTTTTTTTTTCCTGCAAGAGAGAGAAAGGAGTGACCTTGGGAGAAGGACAAAAAGATGTGGTTTTGGGATCAAAGGAGAAAATCTCGAGCGTTGAAGGCCTCGACTTCCCCACCGCCAAGAGATGGGCGTTTCCCGGCCGTCTAATCCAAGATGCACAAGCCACAGTCTCTTGCACCGCCGCGTCTCCGCCGTCCATCTCCGCCGTTGAATTTCCAATTCTCAACTGCCAAACGCGTCCAGAAACGTACAACAAAACTGTATCTGTTCAGAGAAGCGGCCCACTTCTAATCAAATACTCCATGGCTGGTAGGTAAAGAAAACAGAAAGTTACAAAGTCCACGGGAAGATTTACTCGAAGGTATATGGTACACTTCTGTTTTTGCAGTTGGGTTTTCACCCAAAATAAAAGACAAAACGAAAGGTAAATTGGCGGTTCGGTTCGGTTCGGTTTTGCATAAAAAATATGTAAACCGTTGGTTATTCGGTTCGGTTTTATACGGTTTTTATTTCGGTTTTTTTCGGTTTTTTCGGTTTATCAAAGTAGAAATTTATAAGCATTAAAAAATTGTAAAAACACTAACTCGATGGAGCAATAACAATATGTTGTGTTAGGTTTGGTTTTTTGATTTGAGTTTTACACAAAAATAAAAATCAAACGGAAGGTTATTGTATCATTCGGTTCAATTTTACATAAAAAAAAATGTGTTGAGTACCCAACAAACATTTAGAAGATTCCAAATACTTCCAAAGACATCGTATGTAAAATTAATTACGAAAAATTTGTGTTTTTTGGTATAATACTTTTATTTTCATTATAACATCAAAGTATTTTTTTATGTAAATATGTAAATTACTCGTATCAATATTTAATGTTAATATAATTCTTTATTTGGATTAGCTATTGGTGTTTATATTTTTAGATTTTTAAAAAGTTTATAATAGTATGGCTAAAATGTTTAATTAATAGTTAAGAAAATAATTTTAATCGACTAGTAATTTATTTGCATTTATATTTCTATGATTTTTCTACATATCACATATATTTATATAAAAAAAGTGAAGTATCTAAGAAAGTTCGATTTATTCGGTTCGGTTTGGTTTTTCAAAGTGAAAACCAAAACGGAACCAAACACTAACGGTTCGGTTCGGTTTTTTTACATTCGGTTTTGGTTTTTTCGGTTCGGTTTTTTTTCTAGCTCGTTTCGATTGGTTTCGGTTCGATTTGCGGTTTTCGGTTTTCCCAACCCAGCCCTACCATATAATACCCGTACATCCGGTAGCATGAAGTAGACTAATACTAGTTCTTGCACAAATATAATTAGCTTTGTATTCATTTTAAAATATTGCAGTATTCATTTTCACACATTGGTTTAATATAATTATAATATTCATCTACAAATAATGTAGTGCTCATTCTGAAACAAAACAGTACTCATTCTCAAATAATTTAGTGTTCATTCTCATGCAAAATAAAATCCATATCATAAATAATTTCTTGGTTGTACCCAAAATTGGGTACAACCGGATGTATAATATAATTTGCAGAAGATTTACGGAGTACTCCGGGGTATAATTAAGAAGAGTTTGGTGTTGGTCTAACCTTAGTCTATACATAAATTTGATCTTTCTCCAAAAAAAAAAGAGTCTGGTATAATCCATTCACCACAAGTTGTATGTTCGGCATGTCAGTTTCTGAGCTTAGTCACATAGTCGCCTTCAGCCCTACAACACTTTAATTAAGGTTGAAACATTTGTCAGTCATCACGCGTAGGAGTCATTTGTCATCAAGTTTGGTTTTTCATTTGCTCGGTCAGCCACATTTGTTTGTTTTTTGTCTCAAGAAATCAAGTTTAGTCTGAATTACTCCATCCGTCCACAAATAAACTTTCAGTTCACTATTCACATGGTCAAACTTTATTCACTTTGTTGGACTATTTTCATTACCCATATATAATCATGTCACCTATAGTATTGTAGATAAATATAGTTTTTAATATGTAATTTTTATTTTAAAATTTCACACCATTTTTCATATAAAATGATTTAAAAATAACTTCAGTCAAACATCGTAACGCGCAACGAGAAGTTTATTTATGGACGGAGGGAGTATTTGTCAACGTGTGTTTTGTTTTTTAGCTAATATTTTTTTATTATCAAAGTTATGCATTCATTTTACTCATATCTCAACTTGTGGAAGAGTTTTTGCGAATCTAATTAGGGTTACCTTAAGAGCACTGGAAATACTCGTTCACTAGAAGAAATCATCCAAAATAAGAGAAAAACATAGAATAATATCAAAATATGATATTTATGTTTTAATTCCAAAATAAATGTTTACACTTTGAGCATTGTATATTGACATTTTATTGTATTTTTTGATATTTGATGTTTGTTGAGGAATAGGTCATAACATATGGGCCGATCCAAGTGGAATCTTATCATGATAAAGATGGGCCGCAAACATAAGAAGAAGACACTGAATAAGAGCATGAGCAATAATGAGGTAAAAATGGAATGCCACACGCAAACATAAAAAATACTCCGTATCATCTAGTGAAAAATAATCTAATCAACTGACAAGTGAGTAGAGTGACAAGTCAATGTTTTTATAATGGAAATGAGGAGGGAGGGATTGACTTGACGCTGAATTGATGGTATGAGGAGAAGGAAAGTGGAGAACCATTGGTCATTTAGAGGGTCTGCGTCTTCACTCCTCAGCCACCAGCACAATCGGATACCGGTCCTTGTCTCTGACGGATAGCACGGTTAATAATTATTACTCCAGGAAACCAAAACAAATGCAGAGCGGCGCCTATCTCACCAAAACCCCACCCTTCTTACTAGTGCACCCCCACCTCCGCCGCCGCTCTCCCGGCCGGTGCCACATCGGAGCTCCGATTCTCCCTCCCAACATAAACCAGGGCGGACACGGTCGTGGAATGCAGCTACACTCATCCCGCGGCTCCGTACTGATCGGAGTAGATCACGCCTCGATGTTTTGGGATGCCGGCGCGGCGGCGCTGACCGTCGCCGGAGCTTACGCTCTTGTCTCTACTTTCGACGCCCTAACCCACCGCAATCTCATCCAACAGGTTCTCTCTCCCTCTCTTTCTCGCCACAGATCTGAACTTATATAGTACAAAATTTCATTTTTGGTGGTTTGAATATATACTTCTGCTTGCGTCAGATTCACAATTTGGGTAAGAAAATAAGGAGTTTTTATGTATGTGTGTAACCAGAAAGGCACAAATTGCGGGAGAAGTTTTCCAAATATAGATAGAAATATTGATGATGATTTTATTATTGCGACATTTAAAAAAACAACAACACACATAATTTCTATTTTTGTTGTTTTTTTTTCACTGGTGAAATGCCTTTTGGAATTAAAGGTTATTCTCCAGAACTTTGCTAAATTGGGTAAGTGGTCACCGGTGAGTGAGAAAGGACTAAACGCATTTTGCCAATTCTCTCATAAGATGAGGACCGGTTCTGTTTCAGATCTGGAACCGGATAAGGGGTGGGATTGGCGGTTTTGGGTTTTTGAGTTTGGATCGGAACTAGCGGCCATGGATCCGTTCCGGGTTAAAATGGTTTCTTTTTTTCTTGAGTAAATTATATAAAAGCTCCTTAGTTATATGAGTATCATTTTACATATTTAGTTCTTATATATCAAATATTACTAATTTAGTCCCCAATTATTATATCATTTTTCACGAATGTTCCTTTGTTAACGTTTTTGTTAAGAACATTTATAAAATTGTGAGTAAATTTCATAAAAGATCCTCAGTTAGAGGTCGTTTTACATATTTAGTCCCTACATATCAAATATTACTAATTTAATCTCCAATTATTATATCATTTTTCACAAATGGTCCTTTGTTAACGTTTTTGTTAAAAACATGGATAAAATTATATATTCATACTTCTCTCTCTCCTCAATTAAGCTTCCTCCCTCCTCTCGTACTCTTTCCCAAACTCGTCGCTGAGTTTGAAGTTCTAAACCCAAAACTGAAATGATCATTCCTCTCTCAATTATTAGTCTTCCAGGTGGAACCTAAAATCAAAACCAATAAGCTTTATGGATGAGTTTTATCGGTTAGTATCAAGAAATTGTAAAGAAATAAACATTAAAATTCATCCAGGAAGGTTACTGGTTTCGAATTTGGTTCCACCAGTTAGACGAACAATTGAGAGAAGGGTTCAAAGTTTCAAACTCAGCGACGGGTTTGGGAAAGGAGTGCGAGAGGAGGGAGGAAGTTTAATTGAGGAGAGAAAAGAGTGTGAGTTTACAATTTTATCCATGTTCTTAACGGAAATGTTAACAAATGATTCGTGTAAATAAATATAATAATTGGGGACTAAATTAGTAATATTTTGTATGTAGGGACAAAATATGTAAAACGACCTATAACTAGGGACTTTTTATGAGATTTACTCTTTTTTCTTTTTTAGGTTTGAAACAGTAATGGAGAGTTTAGCCCACCCAACTTACAAAATGTTGGTATTAAAATTTTAATTTAGTACTCTATAGTTTGCATGTTTTAGTCAAATGTAGGGTTAATTTGGTTATAACGTTGTTAAAAGTTAGATTCCATATTTAAAACAAATTCTATAAAGGCAACGCTTAAATTTTATAGTTTTTTATACCATTAAAATTTTATCCAAACACCAACTCTAATTGTTGGTGATTTTAGGGTCATTTGATAGTTTATGTAAGTATATTTAGTTGGATCGAATGAGAATTTTAAAAGACGCTGTTAACGTATTGGCACACTAATTCAACAATATTACAAATTTCATAACGGGGATTTGGAAGCGGCAGTCCGCTATAGCAGGGTCTATGGAACGGCAGCACTTGGCTAGGTCAAAGGGGTAGAGCTTGTGACTGGGGTCGACATTGTTGCTTTAAGGAAATATCCTTCAATGTTTTTTAAAAGAGAGTCCAAAGTGAAACAACAATTGAATGTGTAACTACGTAGTAATCGTCAACATCTTTAGCGAAAAGCATGTACATTCGAATGTTCAAAATGCCAAGGGTGCATCAAAAGTGTATTCTATTTCTATACCACTATTCTCCCCACCACACACTCCTTGATGTGGATAAGAAAAGTGGAGAGTGGATAGGAAATGTGTGGTGAGGAGTGGTGTACAAATGAGGTATACCCTAACATTACTCTTGAATGTTACGTGATTGGACACAATGCTTCGCGCTTAAAAATGCAGAACATAATGTTTAAACAATATTTGTCGCATACATTCGAATCTCTTGACCAAAAATTTGAATATTTTACATAAATCGTGTTGTTTCACCAAATTATGCTTCTGGCTAGTTTGTGCTCCATATATATATATGAATATCTAGGGTATGTTTGAGATGCGCAACACTTCAATACTCGTTCTACATACTACGTGATGGCAATAAACCACCGAGCATGCCGACCGTGGGGTCGGGTGAGTGGACTAAGCAAGAGAGTAAAGAGAGGGAGAGAGGGGAGAGTGCAAAGTAGGAGTATATTTGCTTGATCTTGGATCCGTTACAATAATGCCATGACCGGAGGCTATTTATAGCCTCCTTACTATTACAACGGTAATTAGGGCTGTAAACGGATAGCCGAAAATCCGATTACCGTTCGCATCCGTATTCGTTTAAAGAGGAAATATCCGCATCCGTTTTAAACGGATATTATCCGTATCCGATTACTAAACGGATACGGATTTGGTAATTGTATATCCGATCCGTTTAAAATTCGATCCGAATATGCATCCGTTTAAATAACCGTTTATCCGAATATCTGATCCGTTATATATAGTTTTTCCTAATTTTTTATGTTTATATTTTGTTTCTCTATTGATATTTCAAAATATAAGACATTTTTAAATACAAAATAAATGTGTACACATAAAATACATAGAGACATATAAAAGTATGTGTATATATGTGCTTATATATCTTTTTATCATATGATGTTATCGTGGAATATTAGAAATCATGAAAACAAAGAAAATAATTATCTCATAACAAATTATAGTTGATTAAATAATAGTTTAACTTTAATCTAATTTAAAAATAAAGTGTTTTTTAATTTGATTTTAAAAATTGGAAACGGATACGGATATATCCGATATCCGATCGATATCCGACGGATGCGGATACGGTTTTGATTTTCAGTATCCGAATTCGATATCCGACAAAAATAAACGGATGCGGATTTGGTAACGGCACATCCAATCCGATTAATATCCGTTTACACCCTTAACGGTAATAACCGTGATTGACACTCGTTTGTCGTCTAGTTCTTGTCGCCACTTCTGGTGTTATTCGGCTTCCCGTGAGATTCTCTTGTTATATAGTCTGTGTCTTTAGTGATTGGGGGTATGCGGGACGTCCAATACCCTTTTGGTGCGTTCACGTGGTGGGGTGGGCTTGAGCATATATGAATCCCTCCTGGATCAAGCAGAACTGCTAAGCTCAGTACGACCGTGCTGAGCTCGCCGGCCCGAGCCGAGTCCACCTGGGCCACACCTGTGGGATCCGTTTGAGCTTATTTGGGTGGTGGGGTCCGGTCCTGGGGCCTACTACTAGCGTGACATGGGATTACACTCCGTCACTACGTATTTTGATATACTTTAAAATAACTTTTAATATATTACGTGATTTGTTAACTCTATAAAATATTCTTCACGTTCATAACATGCGTTGGTTTCTCCTCCACAATTTCCAACACTAATAAGAAATACTCTCCCCAATAATAATACTCTATACATCTATTTATTGTCGTTTGTGCCTAATAATATTACTCATATTAATTAACGTTCAACCTCAATTTTGCACTTATTTTATTCATTATATACTACGGAGTACTATATTTTACAAACAATAAAAAACCCGGGTTCTGGTTGGAAATTGGCTGGTATAACTAACCCGCGGCCATACTCTATTCTAGCTACTAGTAGCTATTGACTAACCGGGAACCGACAATAGCGTAACCAAAGCGGCCCGTGTCCATCCTAGCCGGGAGTGACAAATCTACACAAATCTGGAATCTATTATTTCCTAAGTTAGATGTTGGAAAAACTAGAAGAAATTAGAAAAAAATTAGAGAAGTTAGAAAAATTGGAAAAGAGTTAGAAAAAATTGGTTTAATTAATGTATTAAAAATTCACTCAATTAAATGATCATTTAACTAAATACTCCGTGTAAGAAAATTTTAATTCTTGATAAAAACGAATTGATCCTTGTCCGTGTTTGAAGTGATATGTTATACATTTGAATGATAAATAAATACTTTTTTAAATAGTTGAAAAACTGGAAGCAGTTAGAAAAAGTTAGTTTACTTTTCCAATCCAAAAGAAAAAGTCTAAAATGACTAATCTGATTTAGAGCCTGTTCTTTAGGGTTTAAACTCTTAACTTTCAATTTCTTTCAGCTCCTTCCAGTTTTTCTAGTTTTTTTTAGTTCTTTCCAATTTCTTCCAGTTCCTTACAATTTCTTCTAATTTCATCTAGTTTCTTCCAATTCTTTCGATTCTTCCAACTATTCTCATTTTCTTCAAACTATTTATACTCCCCAACCAATTACTCTAAAAACGATATATTTTTAATGTGATTATTATTATTATTTTTATTATTACTATTATTATTACAACTTTTATGTTCATAACTATAGTTTATATTTTTTTTTCATTTCACTATTTTTAAGATTCACACTCATTATTTTTTATTCAACTTTTTAATATGAATAAGACAATTTTTTGTATATTAATCTGCATGATAAAACAGAAAAACATCAATATTTTAAACTATATTATAAAACTATGGATAAAATAGTTACATAGAATATTTTATTAATCTTACTTTATATAAGACCCCTCACCTTTCCATTTATTACTCAAATTTTTCTTATTTTTCTAATTTTAAAAAAATTGAAAGTCAAAAAGTTTAGAGAAAAAGACTAAAATAGGAGTAAAACATAAAAAATTTGAAATAAAGTTCTTTGTTTTACTTCAAAAATAGGAGTTACAATGAAAATAAAATGTCAATTATGAAAGAAAAAAATAGGTTTGATTACATTATGTGACATGTTTGATATTTTAAACAAAATCTTGTAATATATAAAGTATAATTACAAAGATAATTACAAAGATATTATTTATAATAAATACTGCATAAATAAATTGATGTGCAAGTAACAACAATAATTTTTTAAAATTTAACATTTTGATATTTATGCTAACTTTCTATTATAACTTTTTTTTACAAAAGTAGTTTTTTTGTGTATGAAAAATTAACAATGTTTTTTTTATCTTAAAGGCATTCGTTAAGATAACATGATGATGATGATAATTATAATAATATCAATAATAATAATAATATATAACAACAATAATTTGAATAATATAAAAATACACTAAAATAAATTTTTGTAAAGTTTTTTTAGGTTTTCTAATTTTTGAAGTTTTTCCAATTTCTTGCAGTTACTTCCAGTTTTTTCTAGTTTCTTCCAGCTTCTTCCAACACCCACCTTTTTTTTCCAGTCGGCTCTTAGTTTGTTTATACTCCCTCCATCCCAGTGTATTTGTCTAGTTTGACTTTTTTGAGTCAAGCTGGACAAATTTTGAGCTTCAATTAAATAAAAACTGTAATGTATTTTAACATAAAAATGACTTTATTGAATTTATCGTATTGAGAACTTTTAAAATTGTATTTCATTATGCTAATATGCAATATAAATTGAGAGTAATTGGAGTTTAAAGTTCGTCCAGTTTGACTCGAAAAAGTCAAACTGGACAAATACACAGCTGGCTGTATCGTATAATTTGTGGATCTTGAATAGTTATCTCATATTATTTCTCCTTTCTTATATTTTAATCACGAGAAATTCTATTGTATGTGGACCTAATGTCTACATGGATCTTTTCATACAATCTTTTTGAAAGTATTTATGTAAATAGTAAGCAAGTACGTAATTCTTATTTAGTTTATATGAAGTTCCACCATAGACCTTAGGTCCATACAAGAGTTTACCTTCTTTTAGTATAGAAATCTACATCGATGCATGTTCTTCCCTTTCATTTGGAATAGAAATTTCTGTCTATGTCTCTTTCCTTTTCTTTTGGCATAGATATCTTCCGTTCAATTTCAATACTAATCCAACCCAAAATAACTATAATCATTGAATCAATATTGATTTCTCGTAGAATTTAACTTTTTAAAAAATTGATGCATATTTTAAAAACAATATTTCAATATTTAAAAATTAGATTAAGAAAATGTTTGATTATTTTATTTTATCAAATGACCATTGAAAATATTTTAGGAAAAAATATAGTATGAGGGAGTACAATCTAAATTGCAAAACTACAAATGGAGATTGCAAAACCACAACTAATTGGTGGTATAGATTATGACGGATCTGTAGAGAATATATAATAATACTCCGTAATAAATTAGGGTATTCATGCCTTAAGCTATTGTTTGATTGGTGAAAAGAAAATATGGAGTGAGAAAACACAACTCCAAATGCATTTTTCCTTGTTTGTTTACATAAGAAAATGATTAGAGGAGAGAAAAAGTGGGTGGGTCCAAGCTAAAAAATTTTCTCTACCTCATGTGACTAGAAGAGTTTCTTTGAGAAAGAAAGAAGTGAATTTACAACTTTTCCCTTATTGTTTATCTTTCACCATTCCTTTAAAAAGGATAAAAATGTCTTTTTGTTGTATCACATTTTCTTTCTTATCACATTTTCTCATCATTTTCTTACCATTCAAATAATTATTATGTTACTTCTATTTTCTCTTCACACTATTTTCTTTCCCATAATTTTTTTCCTTTCATTTTCTTTTCTTATCCAAACAAAGGGTAAAAGAAACTTAAATATTGATCGATCAAATGAGTTAGGAAATATCAGATCAGAAGTTAGAAATAGAGGGACGGCCTTGTGTGGATCTTGTGGAAGTGATTGAGAGAAATAGCAAGGAGAAATATGAGGACTGCTTCATCCAACGGTGGATATCATTTCTTATTTGTTTCATGGGAAATTTACCTATATAGTACTAAAACATAATGAGTTTCTCAATGTAGTGCCACTGTTCAATGTCCAATGGACATTGTTCAAGTAAATGTTCATCACCACTGGACATTGCTCAAAGTAAATGTCCACTGCTAGACAATGTTCCAGCCACGGGACATTGTTCAAGTATTATTCATGGAATATAAAGGTTTAGCTACTATATTAGGAAAATGCATATCTTTTAGTATTATTTAGTGTAAATTTTACTTACGGAGTATTTCATTAGATTCTCGGTAATTGGTACAAAGTAGAGAAAAAATAACGTTATGTACGAATAGAACAGGCATCTTCGAGCATAAAGAGGCATCCGCCACTACCAAACAACAAGAAATGTCAAAGTTGAACAGAAGTTTACCCAAGGGCATTTTAGGGAGATACATAAAAGACAGTGGAGAGTAGATAGTAATAAATAGAGTGCCATTATCACTTGCCAAACTTCAATCCTGAATTTAAATTTATCTGAACTCTCAAATAATGTATGTGAAAAAAATTCGAGGCATACTAAAATGAAAAACAGCACAAAAAAAGGACGTGGAAGTATTACCCCTGGGATGAATCTGCAAATGACTTACAAAAAAAACACAAACTTTGGCATTGATATGCTTCATTTTGTTTTTTGATGTACAGACTTTGAGCAGGAAATTGGTGCATATACTTTCTGGGCTTCTGTTCCTGGCATCCTGGCCTCTGTTCAGGTATGTATTTAATGGAGGAACGAATGATGATATTTGTCTCTATTGTGTTGATGATTTAGAGGTTAGATTAGCACATCAACAGGAGCTCGCTACTTCGCTTCCATTGTCCCCATCATAAACTGCCTTAGGCTGCTTGTCCACGGGCTTCAGTTCGCACATGATGAAGCCCTCATCAAGTCTGTCACCCGGGACGGAAATCCAGAGTACGTTTAATTAAGCTCCTCTCTCTCTGTCTGTCAACTGTTTCTGTGATCAGTGTTATAGCATGTCAAGGAACCAACTCAACCACAAGCTCAAGCTTATGGTTGTGGCCCAGGAACAGATATTTATATACTCTAACACGCCCCCTCACGTGTAGGCGTGACCTCTTTGAGCCTTGCACGTGAAACCTTAATTTTTTTTTTAAACTGGGTGGCAGTGAGTTTCGAACTCGTGACCTCTTGGTCATCAAGGCTTTGATACCATGTCAAGGAACCAACTCAACCACAAGCTCAAGCTTATGGTTGTGGCCCAGGAACAGATATTTATATACTCTAACATAGCATCTTCTCGGTGGTTTGCTCGATTGATCTGATCTGTTTGGATAGATGATTTTATTTGGGTAATCTAAGATTTCAGTCTTTTTTTTCACTCATTCCCTTTCATCTGCAGAGAATTGCTTCGAGGCCCACTGTACTATGTCACAGTATTGATTGTATGTGCACTCGTCTTCTGGCGTGACTCGCCAGTTGGAGTGATTTCACTAGCCATGATGTGTGGCGGAGATGGTTGGTTCCACATTTCCCAATTAATCTATGTGTGCTCTTAGATTTACGACTCTATATCAAATGCTCTTTCGATTTTACAGGGATTGCTGATATAATGGGGAGAAGATTCGGCAGGGTAAAAATTCCTTACAATGAACAAAAGAGTTGGGCCGGTAGCATATCCATGTTCGTTTTCGGGTTCTTGACATCGATAGGGTGGGTATATATATTGAATCAAGCTAGGCCTCTTCCTTGTCCATTCATTCATCCATTCATTCAATAATGCAGATTTGTTTGAAGAAATGTGTGTGTTTTTGTGTGAACTGTGAAGGATGCTTAGTTACTTCTCTGGGCTTGGATACTTTGAGTTGGAATGGATGGGCACAATGGAAAGAGTGGCACTTGTTTCATTGGTGGCAACTGTGGTGGAGTCTCTGCCAACCAATGGAATGATGGTTGACGACAATATCTCAGTTCCTTTAGCAAGCATGCTCACTGCCTCTTTGTGCTTTCCTTAAGCCGCACCCAAAATATGGCTATATCCATACCTTTTGTCTGAATTTGCTAAACCCATGCCCATTAATATTATAAGTTCGATATTAGTGTGGATTTATCAAATTTAGTTGATATGTCGTGGAAATAGCGATTTTGGGTGTGTGTTTTCTTTAACATTTGCCCTTTCGTTAATTCTGTCGATGTATACTTATTTGGTTACTAGCCATTTGCCCCTCTTGTTGTACTGTTTAGATCTATACACTCTTTTCTGCGTATTCTTATTTTTTTCGATGAATGATTTGATAGGAATGGTTAATTAATTGCCTTTTGAGTCCGAATGATTATGATGAACAACCATTGGTATTTTGAATAAAGCTCATCAATGTATTCACATAAAAACCAACAATGAATAAAATCATCTTGACGTAGGCTCTCTTCCGTACGCCTGGTTGAATTTGATCTGATTAAGTCTGATAGAATTTAATTGGAATTGATTTTATGTGATTAGATATGGTGTAAATGAATTTAAAATTGATTTAAATTAAACATAAAAATATTACAATAATTTAATAGTTTTAAAGCATTGCAATTCATATATACGTAAAAAATTAAAATAAGAAAATTATTGTCAATAACTAATAATTGATATAGTTGAACAAATTTTTTAAAATATTACATATCTTTTCAAAATCACTATTTTTTTAATCTCTGTGAAAAATAGAATAATGAATTCTTATTTATATAATGAAAATGTATTATCACTTGGCATTAAAAAACCAAGTACTTGAAATTATCACATAAAATCTTAAACATTAATATTTTTTTCACATTTATCAATTTTGCCATAAACTCAACCTTGTGTATTACTACCTCCGTCCCAATTTAAATCGTCTGCTTTGACTTTTGTCCATATTTAAGGAAAATAAAAAATAGAATTGATTTTTCGAAATTGGAATTACTTTTTAGGAGAGGTGATGATGAATGAGAAAATAAGGTGAAGAAGAGTGACTTATTTTAGGGGTAGTTTAGGTATTTTATTTTTAAAAGTTCACGAAAACAACTAACAGGCAACTTATTTTGGGACGGAGAAAAAAGGCAAACAGGCAATTTAAAATGGGACATAGGGAGTAAGAGTTAGTCTTTTCAAGTATAAAAGTAATTATGGTTTTAAAAACTAATTTTTGTTTATTTCTTTTATAAACAACTCTATAATATGAAAAATACAACTTATTAAGTTTTAAAATTGCTTCCATGCATTATTCTTACAAGCTAAGTACTTACAAGTCTTAATGATTTCTTGTTGAAATATAATAATAATATACCAATAATAATAATATTTAAAATTATACTCCTTGCATAATTTAGGTGTGTGTAGCTTTAAATAAGATTTAAGTGTGTGCTTTAAATAAAGTAATGTGATTTAATCAAATAGTAATTATTATTTAATCTTAGTAAAAATATTAGTATTGTTTTTTTTCTTTTTTCCCGATTTGGTATTATTGAATTTGATCTGGTTGGAATTTTCCTAGCCATGGGTTGCTTTTGCAGCAATAAAACGATTCGAGCTATCTCAAAGAATACAACCAAAACCCATATGAATGTTACTAGGTGTAAGAGATGCATCTGTGTTTAGCTTAAACCGATTAGTACTCGATTTCACCAATCTCAGAGCATGGGCAATGACAAGTAATGAGTGAAATGCCACACGCTGACGTGGAGTATTTTAACCAATAAAAAATAAGCTAGTTAACGTGTGGCAAGTGAGTGGAGTGTCAAACTTTACAATGGCAAGTCATAGCTTTTATTATCTTTTTATATTTTTTGGCATATTTTAATTATTAAAAATTATTATACTTATTTTATATATCATAAAAATATTACTACTTACTCAAAAAAAGTAACAAATTTTTTTTCTTAAAAACATAAAAGAAAAAAAATTTAAAAAAAATAAAATGGGGCCAAGAATGCCACGCTTGTGACTTGCAAAGAGAGGTGCCATGCTCCTTCCACGCATGGAATAATGTGTTTTAGGATGATGTGGCAGTGAGGCATGAGCAAGGCATGAGACACTCCACGCCATTGCTCATGCTTTCACAATCTCATGCTAATTATCCCCTTGTATGCACAACCCATTAAAAAAAACATTCTGTCAAATATATATTTAAAGAAAACATTCTGCTCATTAAATATATTTAATTTTTATCACAAAATTAATGTGCTAGGATAATAAAGTGAATCTTGGAAGAGTATTATTATGATCTGGACCGATAAATTCCGGGTTAAACCCATAAATAAAGTGGAGTCGAATCTTCCTTCCATGGTTCATCCTAAATTAGATGGCATTAAAAAATTCAACAAATGTGACGTGTTGGAAGGCGGTAAAAAAGCCGAATGTCCATTTGTCATGCTTTTAAGAATTCTAAATATTTGGGCTAATAACATGGGTATCCCCGTGGATTACAAAAAGAGCGTCAAAACTCTCTCTATTTTAACAATTCGATTATAAAGTCTATGGTTTCTAAATAGAGCACAGATGCCTCCCTTACCTATTTTAAAGTAAAATGACATTTATGTCCTTTCTTTTCCTCATTCTTGAATCTACATTGTTTTATTTTTCTTTATTATACAAATATATTAAATAAAATATACGCTCCCCATCTCAAATTTAAAATTTTCAATTATGTATTTTTGAAAAGAAAAGATTTTTTGGGGGGGAATGTTACAAAAGAAAATGAAAAATAAAATATTATGCATGAAGTAAAAAAAATTGAAAAAGATAATGGAAAGAAAGTAAGATATAAAAAAGCAATCTTTTTCTTTAACTCTGTATTTTATTTCATCATTCTGTTCTTCATTTTTAAAGTCCTTAAAATTTATTTCACTTTTAAAAAACAAACAAGTTAGAATTTTTAATTAGAGATGGAGTGAGTATATGTTATTTAATTTTTTTATTTTAATTTTTCTTATACCAAAAAAGTGTATTTTATTTCATTTCCTTTTGTAACAATTTTTTTTAAAATATTTTGTTTCGAAAAATAAATAAATGAAAAATTTTAATTTGAGAAAAAGGTCGTATATTTTATTTTACTTTTTTGTATAATAAAAAATTCAAATAAAAGAATGAACTTGAAGGTAGACAAAAACAAAGAGCAAAAATATTATTTTATTTTAAAAAATAGGAAAGTAGGGGGCGTCTCTGCATTATTTAAAAAATACAAAAATTTTACAAGGGCACCATGCTATTACGGTATTAAGGGCATGTTCTTTAGGACTCTAAAAAAATAGCAAGATGTTGGAAGAAACTGGAAAAAACTGGAAGGAACTGGAAGAAACAGAAAAAATTGGAAGAAACTGGAAGAACTGGAATGAATTGGAAAAAACTGGAAAAAACTGGAAGAAATTGGAAAAAACTGGAAGGAACTCGTAGAAACTGAAAAAACTGGAAAAAACTAGAAATCCTAAAAAAACTTTTGAATATTTATTTTAAATTCTTGTTGTTATAAATTATTATTATTATTATTATTATTACTACTACTATTATTATTATTATCATCATCATCATCATCATCATCATCATAATCATCATCATCATCACGTTATCTTTGTGAATGTCTTTAAGATATAAAAAAAATATTGTTATTTTTTGAATACAAAAAGCTAGTTTTACAAAAAATAATTATAATATAAAGTTAACATAAATATAAAAATATCAAATTTTAAAAAGGTTGTGTAGTTATATTGGACCTCAATTTATTTATACAGTATTTATTATAAATAATATATTTGTAATTATAATTTATATATTAAAACATTTTGTTTTAAATATCATACATGTCACATAATCAAACCTATTGTTTCTTTCTAATCGACATTTTATTTTCATTGAATTCCTATTTTTGAAATAAAGATATAGAACTTTTTTGTTTACCTTTTTTATGTTTTACTCATATTTAGTCTTTTTCTCTAAGCTCTTTGGACTTACAATTTTTTTTATAAAAATTAGAAAAATGAGCAATTTTTAAGTAATAAAGAGAAAACTGAGATGTTTTATCAAAAGTTATATTAATAAAACGTACAATGTAACTATTTTATCCATAATTTTTTAGTATAATTTAACATATTAATGTTTTCCTGTTTTATCCTATAGACTAATATACAAAAAAATGTCTTATTCATATTAAAAAGTTGAAGAAAAAAATAATAAGTATGAATCGTAAAAATAGTGAGATGAAAAAAATAATTTATAAACTATAGTTATGAATATAACTGTTGTAATAATAATAATAATAATAATAATAATAATAATCACATTGAAATATATTATTTTTAGAGTAATTGGTTGAGAAGTAGAAAGAATTTGAAGAAAATGAGAGAGGTAAGAAGAAATTGGAAGAAATTGAAAGGAACTCGAAAAAACTAGAAAAAACTGGAAGAAACTCGAAGAAACTGGAAAAAACTGGAAATTAAAAGTTCAAATATAAATGTGTGGCTCTAAATATTAAGACTCCAAAATAGTTCAATACCAAAATAATTCAATAACCATATAGTCGTGGCTGTTTAAGGCAATTTCACATTGTTTATTTTTACATTGAAAAATGGCAGTTTGAGAGAGAGAGAGAGTAGCATAGGAAGGAGCAAGTCGCCTACTTGCATCATCTTCTCTCTTCTTCTCTAGAACAACTACTACTACGACTTGGCAATCGTTGTTGACTATTCCAATTTCTTGAATTATCTCAATCGAAGATGTTTTATATAGACATCGGTAGACCCACAGATGTCATCCTCTTCTCATTCTCGATTTCTTCCACCCGCCGCCGGTGACCCGATTCCCACACCAAATCCATCGCCATTTCTTCAGTAATTATCATATCAACAATGGGCTCTCCGCCGATTGCGGCATCCTCCCTTCACGGCGTCGGTGGTGGTGGATGGAGAAACAGAAACGGCGGCAGTAATTTCACCGCCGCAGCCGCCTCCAGCAGCAACGGCGGTGATTCGCGCTGTCTCTCGTCTCCTTCCGCTTTCTTCCTTGTGGCGTTTGTGTTATTGGCCTCAATTGCGTGTATCTATTCTCGCTTCTTGCTGACCGCCAACGCCCACGCCTCACTCTCCCCCATGGGCTGTCGCGAGGACAATGAGGGATCTTGGGCCATCGGCGTCTTCTACGGCGACTCTCCCCTCTCCCTCAGACCAATTGAAGATGTAAGATTTTTAGTTCTATGATAAATTTTCGCACTGAAATCTGAATCCCCCCTTCCGTCTTCGCTGCTAATTTTATTTCCTGATTTTTTTGGGTAGCAGATGAACATTTCTAGCGCCAAAGCTGCAGCGTGGCCAGTTGCCAACCCAGTTTTCACTTGCGCTTCTGCTTCTCAGTCTGGTTTTCCCAGTAATTTTGTTGCCGACCCATTTCTCTATGTTAAGGTGATTATTTGCTAATCACATACTTAAATTTAATTTAATTGAGCAGCTTCTTGATTTTAATTACTTCCCATATATGCATATAACGAATCTTTTTGGGTTGATCATTAGCATTCCACATATATCTGTTACTCCATTAATTATTCCTGTGTTATCTTTTGAGTGAAAAAGAATCTACTGGTTGGAAATTGGAATCTATGACTAGGTAGCTTATAGTTTATGGGAATCTGTTGAGGCAGAAAAGTGAATGCATTAAAGGTATTTCCATGACACACTTCCCAGTGTTTTATAGATACCTATGCCTAGTGAAGCTCCATGTTTTGATTTATGTCAAGGTCAAACCCTTTACATAGGCTAGTATTGCCAAGCCTGTGTAGATTTGGAGGGGACCAGTAAGAGTTTGATGCTCTTCAGATGGAAGCTGGAAAGAGACCATTCATAGATAGTAGAATATAATGGTTCTTGTGCCTTTGAAACACAAGCACTTGTACCTGAAAAACAAAACAAAACCCAAGTTTGATTTTAAAAAAGGAATAAGTGTACTTGGAAAGAAAATCTTCTCAATATTAATGTTATAATTTCAAGGATGAGAATCGTGGATAAGTGTACTTGAAGCTTATGATGACTGTTTTCTTGGGTTCAGAAGTGACTCGGAAAATAGGAAGGAAAATAAAATACGATTAGCGTTTTTTAAAATTATACTTTCTCTGTCCCTAAAAACTCTTCATGTATTGATTTTTAAGGGATTTAAGGGGAGTGTATTTTGGTGTCGACTTTCGAAAAATGCCCTTGAATGTGATGGATAAAGTAGGATGTGATGGGTATATTAATAGTGAATACGGAGTACATATGATGTGATAGACTGATAGGTAAGATAAGAATTAGTATGGGTAAAAGTGACTTTTTGATAAAAAGTGGAAAGGTTTTTAGGGACGGAGGGAGTACATGTGTTTGGATTTCTTGGTCTTTATATAAATTAATATAAAAAGTGTAAAAATTAAAATATCGAGTTTGAATAAATATAATGTCCCACCTCCCCACACATCCTATCTTTTCCAATTTTCAATCAAACCCTAGGGTTCTATAAAAGTGGAAAAATTACATTCCATAAGTTTCCACTTTCCATGCATCAAAGTATGGCACGAGTGGAGATTTTCAGCAGTCATTCTCTCTCTTCAAAATCTTTTCTACCTCCAAGTGCCAGCATAGTAAATGGTGTTTCAGATATATTCTTCTGATATCTAAATATAATTTCTGGTTTATGGGTACTCAATTTCAGGGAGACACTCTTTTCGTATTCTTTGAGACTAAGAATGCAATCATGATGCAAGGGGATATCGGAGTTGCTAGAAGTATTGATAGGGGAGCAACATGGGAACCATTGGGAATTGCATTGGATGAAGATTGGCATCTCTCCTATCCGTATGTCTTCGACTACAATGGAAATGTAAGATATCATATTAAAAACAATGTTCCTGTTGTAAGCAAGTGTAGGTTTTGTTTTTATGCGGGCATTCTTAATTGCTGACTCATATGGAATGAGTTTGACGATTAGGAAGTAAATTTATAGAAAGGTATGTGAGGGTAAATACAATTATCAGGTTATGAACCATGGTACAATCCATAAGGCATTTAGGTGGGATGCACAAGTCATTTCTGTAGAGTTTCATTAGGATTCTACCAATCTACCCCACTTAAGTAAGGTCTATTTTCCAACAATAAATGCTAAGGGCAGTTTTGGCGTATATGCCCTCAATACTATAATCCTTATGTCATGTGAACTTACTTCCTTAAAGAAACACAGGATCTGGGGACATTCATTGCCCATGTAGGAAGGCCTAAAATGGGAAGTGGTTGAATATACTAAATTCGCTAAACTTGTGTCTGAAATTGCAATAGCTGCTGAAGTACCTCAAAAAAAAACCATTTAAAGTATATTCCTGAGAAAATGTAAATAAGTTACTTTTGAAAAATGAGGGTAGAAATATCATTTTCTTTGATTTCACCCATCACAGCCAAAAAGTAAGCCTTGCACTACTTTTATTTTTTATTACTAGCCCATTTAGCTAGCATTTGGTGTTTGGTGAATTATGGTTACTGATACACTACTTTTGCACTCTTCTTAAATTGTAATCATCTTACTTGCTAAATATTTTGGACCATTTCATCTTGTTTGTGTTGAACTTTTTGGTTCATGGTACCTACCTCCTGTGATATAGTGACTGTATTAAACGATTAATGCATGGCATGAACCTTGGAATCATTAACTCTCCTTTAATTAGAAGCATATTGTTTACTGCAGATATATATGATGCCAGAGGGCAGTGCGAAGGGGGACCTTCGTCTTTACCGAGCTGTAAATTTTCCCACAGAATGGACACTGGATAGGGTGATACTGAAAAAGCCAATGGTAGACTCTGTCATAATTCCACATGATGGGAAGTATTGGCTTTTAGGCTCAGATCATAGTGGCATTGGCGCCCAAAAGAATGGACAATTGGAGATTTGGTATAGTGCCTCTCCCCTCGGTCCTTGGAGGCGACACAAGAAATACCCAGTCTATAACAAAGATAAAAGCACGGGAGCCCGAAACGGAGGCAGACCATTTCTGTATAACGGAAACATTTACCGTGTTGGCCAAGACTGCGGCAGCACATATGGACGCCGGGTCCGTCTTTTCAAAATAGAGATTCTCACAACCCGTGAGTTCAAAGAAACAGAAGTTGCATTGGGAATTGAGGAGTCTCTTAAGGGACGGAACGCGTGGAATGGGGCCCGCAATCACCACCTTGACGTGCAGCAGGTGAGCCCGGGAGAGTGGATTGCTGTTCTTGATGGGGACCGCGTCCCTTCAGGAGATATGAACCGCCGGTTTGTTCTTGGCTGCGCCTCGATCTTAGGTGTGGCTGCCCTTGTCATGCTGTTGGGAATGATCCTTGGGACCGTGACGTCTATTGTGCCCTTAAGTTGGTGCCCACACAACGTGGGAAAGCGAAGTGACTCTTTCTTGACCTGGGAAAAACCAAACTCACTCTCTTCAAATCTTAGACTCTTCTGCAGCCGGTTGAACCGAGTGAGCTCATCTCTACACCTCAGATTAAGACCAAACACATTCATGGGGAGCACAGTTCTGTCTTTGACGTTTCTAGCATCAGCTGTGTTGGTCTGTGCCGGGGTTAGATACATATACGGAGGAAGCGGTGCACAGGAACCTTACCCATTGAATGGTCACTATTCTCAATTTACGTTACTAACAATGACATACGACGCGCGATTGTGGAATTTGAAGATGTATGTCAAGCACTATTCGAGGTGTTCCTCGGTGCGTGAGATTGTGGTCGTGTGGAACAAAGGGACGCCTCCGCAGTTGACCGAGTTTGACTCTGCCGTGCCAGTGAGGATAAGAGTTGAGGAGGAGAACTCGTTGAACAACCGGTTCAAGGTTGACCCCGACATAAAGACCCGAGCCGTCCTAGAGCTCGATGATGACATCATGATGACTTGCGATGACGTGGAACGCGGGTTCAAGGTGTGGCGAGAGCACCCGGATCGGATCGTGGGGTTTTACCCCCGGCTCGTCGACGGGGAGGCCCCCTTGAAGTATAGGGCCGAGAAACATGCCCGAAAGCACCACGGGTACAATGTGATTCTGACCGGGGCAGCCTTCGTGGACGGTCAGCTGGCTTTTGAGAGGTACTGGAGTGAGGAAGCTAAGGTAGGGAGGGAAGTGGTGGACAGGCAGTTTAACTGTGAGGATGTGTTGCTGAACTACTTGTACGCTAACGCGAGCTCCTCCGGGCCCACAGTTGAATACGTGAGACCCGATTGGGCAATCGACACATCAAAGATTTCTGGTGTCGCGATCAGTCGGAACACGAATGCCCATTACGGTGTCAGAAGCACATGTTTGCAAATGTTTTCAGAGGTTTATGGGAGTATAAGTAGCCGGAAGTTGTTTTTCGGCGGCCGGAAAGATGGCTGGGACATGTAGTAGCCGCTAGTCCCTAATAATGAATCAATCCTTGTAAGATCTTCCTTGATTGACATTCTTCGTGAGATTTCTGTTTGTGTTTAATTTTATATGGTCAATAGGTAGTTGTGAGATCAAAATTGTAAAATGTACATTCGGTTTGGCAAATGTATCTAATGTTTGTTTCTTTGGGCTTTAGCATCGTCCTATGGATTTGAAGACATTGCAAGAAGCAAGTTTTTTTTTTCAAACTGTTTTGTTTTGATAGTGTGTCAAACCACAGAAATGGGGTAAACGGTAAGTTTGGAATAAAACCACCGGTTTTGTGGGAGCTTCTCACTTGCCACTCACAATTCCCCAAGATTTTGTGGGATGCTATTTTTAGCATAAGTATTGGTTCCGTGTGCGTCATAACTCATTTGAGAAAGTACAGATTCACTGTGCGTCATAACTCATTTGAGAAAGTACAGATTTATTGTGCGTCATAACTCATTTGAAAAAGTATAGATATATGTATATCACAATTGATATGGAGGTAGTAACACTAAAAAAGAGCCTTCATTGGGACAATCTTATCGCCAGTCTAGCTGACACTCTTAATTTTGGAGAGTAAAACTGATAAAAGTCTAAGTACATTAAATAATTATAGAATAACAATAAATAAGCTAATGTATCTCAAACTCTTGTTGCCAAGCTGGCGCCTGTCGTGCCCGTGTACTCCGGCGTGTACTCCCTACGGGTAGTTCTTGAGTAAACTCCCTGACTTGTGGCGTATGCATAATGGTTTAAGCTTGTCAAATCTTTATTGGGAACAGTTTTTGCATGTTATGACAACTCTCTTTGTTGAGTATAGGCCTTGGGATATCCCTTCTTATACTTGTTTAATGAATTTTGAGAACCTGCAGAGTTTTGCATTACCATTACTACAGTGCTCAGTCTATAATTTGTAATGCTACATTTAATTTTGGGTGGTGTTAGGGGTACCTGAACTAGTGCACCTCATTTGTACACCAAAAGATTTACAACCGCATACAGACACCCAATGTCTGTGTATGCACAGATATTGAGTATCTGCGTGTGCCTGTGAATCCTTTTTTGTACAAATAGGGTACACCACTTGAGGTACTCCTAGCATTTTTTCTTTAACTTTTGTTTTTCATGTGCATTGTGACCAAATGTTATATAGTACCTCCGTTCCAGTGTAGTTTTCTTGTTTGACTTTTTTTTGGACAAACTCGATAAACTTTAACCTTTAATAACTTTTAATTTGTATTATTGCATATTAGTATGATGAAATAAACTTTTAAATATTCTCAACAAGAAAAATCTAATAACATCATTTATATACAAATATACACTAGATTCATACCCGTGCGATGTGCGGCGAGAATGTTTTTAAATTTTTTTATAATAATGCAATTAAAATTAGATGTTACTCCGTAATTTTTAAATATATAGATTTGTAGAGTAACATTTCAATAAGAATAGTTTTAATATGATTATCGACATCTTTAACTTTACCAGTATAATTAAAAGAATATTAAAACTAATGAATATTGATGCAAATCTGCTTTAGTAACTTTTCATGCATTTGTGATGACTTACAACCATATATAATCTTAATCAAACTCTTTGCAACAATATTGCATATTATAGAAACAAATTTAACATTACACATTTTCGAGAACTTCTTTGTATACAACATTTGTAGTATGGTCGAAGGGTTTCCCACCTTCATTGCAAATCACAATCTTTAAACCACCTCGACACGTTACTCGAGAAACTGCAACATAAAGTTAACCATGATTGAAGACAAATTTCTTTAATAATAAGCCAACGTGTGTAAGTGATTGTCTCCGACTCTTATTAATTGTCATTGCATAAGAAATCATGATTTGGAACTGCTTTCTCTAAAACTTGAAAGGAATTCTAGTATCGGATGGGGTCAAAGATAATCTTGGTGTTACGACCTCCATTCCAATATACTTCCCAGACATTATTTTAGCTTGAATTAAATGGATACCTAACTAAGTAACAATCAATCTTGTTCCATTACATAGCCCCATCGATGGGTCAGTATTCCTTAGCAACATTACTAGTGTACCGATCTTTAATCTTAACTTGTGGTTTGGAACGCCAGAGGCTCGAATCCAGTTCAAGAACTCAGGAGTGTGGATATCATTCAAAGAATTAAAGTTGCTGTCAGGCTTGCAAATGGAATCAGAGCTTAGATATGTCTTGCACTCTTTGGAACCATTTAATGTGGTCATGTAATCGTTAATTACATCAACGATGTCGAGCGTAGGTGCTATGATTGCTCTTTTTTGTATGTACGAAGGGCTATTTGCAATCTTCTCCATATCCAGATAAGTGGCCACAATAGCTTGGATGGGATCATCTAAGAAATTTATTAACATGTCATCGGGGATCCGATTCTTAGAATGCCCATCATTATCCTCCCCCGCGATACCATCGCCAATACTTGCAATCCAATTTGAGAATTGCACCAAAGACTCATAGTTACTCGTATCAGCTAAATGATTCAATCGCATGTTTGTGGTCAATCGTAGGACAACACAATGCTCCCATATATATGAGGAACTAATTGTCACATTTGCTATGTCTTGGCGTGTACCCTTTGGAATTACCGGAAGAATTTGACGAAAATCACCACCAAAGACAATTGCCTTACCTCCAAAGGGTTTATTCGCATTTTGGGCATTCACACATTGCATGATATCCCTTAAAGATTTATCTAACGACTCAAAACAATGTTTATGAGTCATTGGGGCTTCATCCCTGATGATTAACTTCGTATGAATGAGAAGTTGCGCTAAGTGACTACCTTGTAAAATATTGCACGTGGAACTCTCTGTAGGGTGTAATGGTATGGAGAATCGTGAGTGAGCAGTTCTTCCCCAGGCTAAAGCAACGAAGCGATACTACTGGATGCAACATTTAAAACCATATCTCCCTTTGATCGTATTGATGTAGATAATGTCTTCCATACAAATGTCTTTCCGGTACCACCATAACCGTATAAGAAGAACACCCCACCATTTACATCTTCCACAGCTTTAATGATCGTCTCGTATGCAAGCAATTGTTTAGTATTCAATGTTGCTTTCAACTCATGAAATTCACATGCAAGTTTAACACGATCATATTGCATCTCATCAAAGATTAATCGATTTTGATTAATTGAAAATCCCTCGATGTTTGGAAGAGGCATGTCCTCATAATTGCACAAACTTTTCCATCGTTGCCTTAAAAGAGTTTCAACCTCAACAAATACATAATTCATCAATTCCTCTTACGTCAACACCAAACCTATAAGAAGTGAATCAATAATCAATAATTGAATAAAGGAAAAATATTAAATACATTATTTTAATTGGTCATTATTTGTCATAAATATAATCACCTGGATGATTCAATAAATGTATTTGACGATGTAATATGTCATCCGACATGTATTCCCAATATTGATCACATACATACAGTTAGTCAAAAATGTTACGTATAAAAGACGAAACTGGACACTTGAGGCCCATTGACTTGCTTCTTTAAAAGCATCGAGATATTCCTTATCATCATCAAGCAAACCTAATGCATAGCAGGCATCACGAGACGTATTATGAAGCACTCCATCGACGGTCTTTATATCATCATAGGATGTAGGTCTGCGTACTATATTCACTAGGATTCTAAGATAATAAGGCTCACCCGATCCAGGAGGAATATATGTTACACGACCTATTGCAAATCCTTTTGTCGCGGTGAATACTTCCTTGTTGAAGATTTCCATACGAATTCTTGCAGGAATTCTGCATAAGTGAGTTTTTGAGCTTGAGGATATTCTTTATTAGCCTTCATCCATGCCAAAAATTTGCTCTCGTGAATGGTTTCATGTCGCACCACTTCAGTTGGTTTATCTTGATCCTCAAAAAATACCAATTGCTCATTTGGAAGATGAAAGTTCAATCGCTCAACACTTGGATACTTATACTAGATGGGGTTACCGAAAATCCTCCAAATAGCCTCACACGGCGACACATATCTGCAATCATAGTACATCTTAATCTCATTGACCGGCTCTTTTGCAGGATCATCAACTACATTTACATGTTCGTAAAAGCATGCAGTTACCTGATCGTTCCCCTTGTTAACATACTTAAAAAGGTATTTTATTGAGCGAGATTGATTACACCACTCAAGATGCAAATGCCCACCATATTTTAAGAGTAAATATTTGTTATGCGGAACCACATAACGATTATTAAAAGCAAACTCATTCTTCAAAACATATCGACTATCATTCATTCTTCTATATTTAGGAAAACCATTATCATCAACACATGTCTCTTCATTAAACATCTTTTGAAAGTGCTTAGAGCACCTTCCACTTACCATGCATGGAGCACGACTTGATTCTTTTCCACACGGATCATGAAGCATATAATCACAAACAGCGTTATAATTATAAATCAAATCAATTTGTTAATCTGGAAACTCAGTTGTTATAATGCGATCAATATCACTGGGTGTGGGGTATTTATCCCATTGCCCCAAAAATAGTAGAATATGTGCATGTCGCAAGATGATAGTTAAGATTGTCACAATTTGACATTTTGGTCAAACTGTTGCACACGATAAAATTACTCATATAAAATTATTTTTGTATTAATATCTAATATCATTTTTATTTAATTTGAAGATAAAGTTTACTAACTTTGACGAAAAAAAGTTTTTAATGCATAACATTAAATCGTCATAATGTAGTGGAATGTGAGTTTATATTTTGTGAATTATATGGAGCATTTGACCAGTGGGGTTTAAATGTATTATCAAGTAATACAACCAAATACATTTAAGATAGTTAAAATAAAAAAGTTGTCCTAAAATGTTAGAGCTGAATGGAGTGGAATGTGTGCTCTTATCTTGTGAATTATATCGTGGGTAAGATGGGTGTGAGGTATAAAAAGTTGTCTATTTTTGGTGGTTTCCTTTGAAAAGTTTGCTTTTGTTGAATAAGATGATAGTTTCACTTTTAAAATTATTACTCTCTTTTCTTAAAAGATTGTCAAAATTTGACATTTTGGTCAAACTGTGGTACACGATGACCATGAATTAAATTAGTTTATGATTTTTAAATATTGCCAAAATTTGATATTTTAAAATTATATTGAAAAATAAATTTAATTTTTTTAAATTTAACTAAATATAATTTTTCAAAAAATTATT